CTTTTTGTTATTTAGGGGCCACATCCTACTCACATAAACAAATTACATTACACACAATCCTGAAGAGATCTGAATGTATAGGGGCCATGATCCATGTGACGGCGCGAGTGGCGCAACCTGTGTGTAGAACTTTAAAGTGCAAAGGTTTAAACTGTATAACATGACCAAACTTGCCTAGTTAGTAAATGTATAGTTGGATTGATTGGTTATTTATAGCTGTCAATCAATGTTGTTTGCACCAGTTATATTGCTTCCTCAGCTTAATTGCTTGGCTCCACCTCTTCCTGGAGGAGGGCAGAGCTTTTCCTTTTCCATTCTACCATCAAACCTTCTACCAGATAGACGTGAGAAAGAGACTTGGCTCTAAAATCAACAACCCATCCATTAAAAATGACTACAGGCAGTCCCAAACATCCAATTCCTAGTTAAGAACAGGGGTGAGACAGCAGGAAGTGAGAGAAATTGACCACTCAAGGGAAATTCAGTCCTGAAAGAGCAAGCCCTTGTCGTCTTGGCCTGAGAGCTGTGTGAAAGGCAAAGCCCCGCCACGGTCATTTTGGGTCCGAGCGTGTTCTACTTATGCTCACAGGGCGGAAGGGGGCAGGGCCAGCAGGGCTCGGCCCAATGGGAGGTGTGCGCGGCAAGTCCCGCAGGCCAAGGGAGACAAAAACGCCAGCGTGCGTCCTTCTCCCAGTGTTAAGAAGTGCGCGGAGAAGGAGGGATGATGCAGGGCATGCACTTCCTAATGCCGGGAAAGGGACGCACAGCGGCGTTGCTGGGCATGCGGGAAAAGAAGCCTTCCCTGCATCGCCCCTCCTTCTCCGCACACTTCCTAACACCTGGAGAGGGACGCACACTGGCGTTTTTGTCTCCCTTGCCCTGTGAGGAGGAGGAGGAGAGGGCCAATGGGCACTTGTGAGGGAGGGAGGGAGGGAGGGAGAGCGAGCTGCCTTGGTGTTCTTCGGGGCAGGGGCACCTCAAGACCTTCTCAAGAGCGCCCCCCCCGAGACACGTGCTATACGCAAAAGCATAATTTGCGTACTGTGTTGTCTACATGGAATTGCCTTTGAAGACTGTCCAGAAGCTTCAAATGGTCCAATGAACGGCAGCCAGATTGCTAACAGGAGCAGCACTCAGGGAGCGTACAACTCCTCTGTTGCGCCGAGTCCACTGGCTGCCAGTTTGCTACCGGGTACAATTCAAAGTGCTGCCTTTAGCCTATAAAGCCCTAAACGGTTCTGGCCCAACATACATGTCTGAATGCATCTCCCCTTACAAACCATCTAGGACCTTAAGATTGTCTGGGGAGGCCCTGGTCTCGTTACCGCCTTCGTCACAAATACATTTGGCGGACACAAGAGACAGGGCCTTCTCGATGGTGGCCCCTCGGCTGTGGAATGCCCTCCCTATAGATATTCGATCGGCCACCTCCCTTTTAACATTCCGGAAAAAAGTCAAGACGTGGATTTTTGAACAAGCATTTTCAAATGCAGAGTAACTGACACAGGAAAATGGAACGACTAGACAATGAGACAGACATTCCAAGTGGTCAGCTTCTGGCCAAAGGACATTTAGTATCATGCCAAGTTTTTAACTTGTGTTTGTGGCTTTTGTATACATTATAGCTATATTCTGTATTTGCTTCTGAAACGATAAATAAATAGTATCCTTCCTGACAAACAAATCCAAAATCCATCAAATGCAACAATTTATTGACTGTGAAAATAGTCACAATTGTCAGTGTGATCAAAAATTGATACGTTACCCCATTGTTAAGCTTTTATTACTTTGTGTATAACAATCAACAACATATGAACACAACCTTTTTATTCGAAGTACATTGCAATATACTCTCAGGCAGATGAATTTTGTCAGAATCGGAACTCATTTGGCAAAAAAAAAAATATTGACATGCCAAGATATGACTCATTAAAAACCTAGAGAATTATTTAAAGGGCAATGTTGATTTTGCTTAGAACAGAGCTAGGCAACCTATTGGCTTTTGCAATGATTTGAACTACTGCTCCATTGACCCCAAATATTGGCCATTGAGTGGAGCGGAGAGACACTGAAGTCCTAAACAGTTTGGAGACAATTGGAACCTATCTCAGGACCCTTCCAGACAGGCCTTAAATCCCAGGATCTGAACCCAGCTCGGATTGGGATATAGAGCCTGTCTGGAAAGTCCCTTAGACTGGGATCGGAGATGAGGAATATGTGGGCCTACTAATGTTGCTAGACCCCCAACTCCCATCATCCATCAACAACATGCAGTTCTGTATGTGAACACTGCCTGAACAATAACACTATGTAACACGATTTTTGTTCCTGGGTTATAAATGTCATTTCCATATTGGTTCTATCATAAAAATATGGGAAAAGTGGATTAAACCACAAAATTTTTGTTTTTTCAGCACATTTTGCTATAGTTTTTCAATGAATCTCTCCTCTAGTTTCAACCAATTCAGCCTAGGTTGCTGTGAGTTTACCAGGCTGTCTGGCCATGCTCCAGAAGCATTCTCTCCTGATGTTTTGCCTGCATCGATGACAGGCATCCTAAGAGGTTGTGAGGAAACTAGGAAACTAGGGTTTATATATCTGTGGAATAATGTCCAGGGTGGGAGAAAGAACTCTTGTTGTGATCGGAGGTGACCCCCCCCCCCAGGACTCTGTAAAAGATAGTTCAAAATCAGGGAATTCATAGTTTTGTCAAGGACAGCAGGCTGGTATGATCCCATAATCCTTATCTCTCCCCCATGTGGGAACCTAAGGCTTCTTCCATGGCCTCACATGGCAAACTCCTGTTTTATGAATGGACTCCGGCTACCCAGTGCTCCTAGGGCCTTCTATACACCCCATGAATTCTTATGGACTTTCCATGAACTTTATAGGAACTTTCATAAATTCTGACCAAACTTTATGAACTTTGATGGACTGTCCTGCATGATTTCCCACTCTCCCTATGAATTCCTTGTATGTTCCCTTGTCCCATTTCCCATTCTCTGTATGTATGTATGTATGTATGTTAGTATTTTAAAAATGGAAAAAGAAACCCACCTTTTCATGAAACCAGCACCTCATGGCTCCTGGAAGTTTCCCAATTTTCTGGGCCAGTAAATCCCTAAAAAAGGACTCAACCAAAATGCATTTGCATGGACAATAAATAAATGGCTCTTATCGGACCGGACCTCAGAGCGCTGAGCCAGGCCATCTGGAATGATAAGGTCTATGGACTTTAGAATCACCCAACACAAAGGGCAATTCTTTATCTGCGAGGAACCAGGGATTTTGCCCCAGCCTCATCCACTGTGTCATATCCTGACCGGCCAAAACTACCATTAACTTCATCAGTAAACTCCGTATCCCAGGACAGTAAAACAAAGGACCTAGCCTCCCAGGGCTAGAGGAAGATGCTGTTTCAAAAGATTAAAACAATAACTTTGGTCTGGCTTGAGGGCCTAAGCTATTGCTGGATCGTTGGGCAAACATTAGTCATTTTAATCCTGTCATCTTTCCATTCCTTTCCCACCCGGCCCACCTCCTGCCTCATTGGGTGAGCAGCCAAAGTGGGGCTAGCGCTCTGATTGGATAGAGTGCAGCCTAGCTGACCACGCCTCCCAGCTAGTTGATGACTCCAGACTTTATTTGGGAAAAATTAGGGAAAATTCTTTTGGGTGCTTGCTGTCTCGCCAGGGTCCCGGATCCTCCTTTTTGGGTCTGGCCGGCCTCTGCTCTGTCAGGGCCTCTCAAATTCATGCTCCACATCATTGTCTTTTGGAGCTAGGTGTGAATGTTCCAATTGGCCATGTTTATTAGCATTGAATGTCCTAGAAGTTTTAAGGTCTGGCTTCTTTTTAAATCATAGCAGTATTTAATCATAACTGTAAATAAATAACAACACTCAAAAACAGGGGAACTCCAGACAAGAAACAATCAGTGCCAGCTAATGACCTTGCAGCTTCAAAGCCTGGCTGTGCTCTGTCTGGGGGAATCCTTTGTTGGGAGGTGTTAGCTGTCTGGAATTCCTCTATTTTCTGAGAGTTGCTCCTTATTTGGCCATATACATGTGTGTGTGTGAACTTATCTCTCTCCTGAGGAATCTGTATAAGGACCAAGTAGCAACAGTAAGAACTGACCATGGAACAACAGACTGGTTCCGATGGGGAAAGGCGTACGGCAGGGTTGTATCCTCTTCCCCAACCTATTCAACTTGTATGCAGAACACATCATGCGATGTGTGGGGCTTGAGGAATGCAAAAATTACTCTAAAATTACAACAGCACAACAACAGAGAGGAAACAAACAAGGACATCTGTAATCACCTCTCAACAAAAGTTTGCTCTAGGCACTGTCAGGCCATTATATGTTAATCAAGGTGGTCAGTTGAGATATTCACACCTAGCTCCAGCAGACAAGAGTCCTTTGTCCCACCCTGGTCTTTCCACAGATATATAAACAATTTTTCCTAGTTCCAGAATACCTCACTACCTCTGAGGATGCTTGCCATAGATGCAGGCGAAACGTCAGGAGAGAATGCCTCCTGACGTTGGCCATATAGCCCGAAAAAATGTACAACAACCTATTTGATTGTTTGTTGAAGACCTAAGCAATAGTAAAGGACTTTGTTAAACCTTTTAAGCTTCTAAAGACTCTGTGTAGGAAAATCCTTAGGGCCTCTCACTCGAGGCACCCCGGCTTCCCGCTGGGCACAAAGAGCGGGTCCTGTTCGAAAGCCAACTGCTATAGGCCCAGCGCGTGACAGCACAGTGTGTGTGTGTATACTAACTAACTTTATTTGGTCATATACATATATATAATATGGCCATATAGCCCGGAAAACTTACAACAACCCAGTGATTCCAGCCATGAAAGCCTTTGACAATACATGAAAACAAAGTTTCTGGAGTATAACAACAACTTTCAAAGTAAATACTACACAATTAAACAGGAAATAACACTTTCAAACCAGGAACATATTTTTTTTCAATTTTTTAAAAATAGTGTAATGTATGTATGGTGTAACAACGTTCGGAAGGCCACATGTTCTCATCCCTGATTGAAACTATTGATTTGCAGTCTACCCAGCTCTGCAGACGGAAGACAGAGATGGCTTAAGGATGACATAATCTCTGATGACATAATTCAGTGCCTTCCAGTCAATCGCAGGGCTGGGAGGAACGGAATTGCTCCATACCAGGCACATTTCATTCTCCGACAGCACCCGATCCCACATATATACATCTCTTATCTCCCCAACAAAGGATTGGTTGATATCAAACCCACTGCCAAAGGCATCCTGGTCCTGCCCAAGGACAATAGATGCCTCTGGACTTATCCGGTGCCCTTTCATCATGCCGTTCCGTGGAAGAGGTTGCCCATCCAACCAGAATTCGACCAGCCCGGTGCCGGACTCCCAACTCATACATATATGCTCCCACGAAGGCTTCACGGTCATGTGTTCGGGGAAGATGAAGAGCACGTCGGACGTTCCGACATAAAGGCTGTACTCGTTGGGTTTGGATTTGAAGATGACGATCTCGTTGTCGTTTGTCTTGGTGGCGTAAGAGAAGAGGGTGTGGGCACGGGTCATGTCTGTGTAAGACCACAGACAGATTGTGAAGCCGGTCAATGGCCGCGCAAAGCTGGGCTTCAACAGCACATGGCTAGTGTTGGACGACTCTGGGAAGATGAACACCTTCTTGTCAAGATCTGGAGATGTGGTGGGGAGAAGGAGGAAAAGAGCAAAGAGAAGGTCTTTCTATTGAATAATAATAATAATAATAATAATAATAATAATAATAATAATAATATAACAACACTTTATTTATATTTCACCCTATCTCTGGGCTGTGTTAGTAGCCAGCTGCATTAAATCACTACAGACCGTGAGGTCATGAGTTCAAAGCCAGCCCGGGTTGGAGTGAGCTCCTGACCATTAATAGTCTAGCTTGCTGTTGACCAATGCAGCCCGAAAGATAGTTACACTGTGGACTCAAACAATGATGGATCTGGACCAAACTTGGCACAAATACTCAATATGCCCAAATGTGAATACTGGTGGAGTTTGGAGGAGATAGACCTTGGCATTTGGAAGTTTTAGTTTCTGGGATTTATTGTTCGCCTACAATCAAAGAGCATTCTGAACTCCACCAACGATGGAACTGAACCAAACTTGGCACACAGAACTCCCATGACCAAGAGAAAATACTGGAAGGGTTTGATGGGTATTGACCTTGAGTTTGGGAGTTGTAGTTCACCTACATCCAGTGACCACTGTGGACTCAAACTTTGGACCAAACTTGGCACAAATATTCCATATGCCCAAATATCAACACAGATGGAGTTTGGGGAAATAGACGATGACATTTGGGAGTTGTAGTTACTGGGATTTATAGTTCACCTACAATCAAAGAGCATTCTGAACCCCACGAACGACAGAATTGGGGCAAATTTCCTACACAGAACCCCCATGGCCAACAGAAAATACGTAAGGCTATCTAGTAATAATAATAATAATAATAATAATAATAATAATAATAATAATAATACACTTTATTTATATTTCACCGTATCTCTGGGCTGTGTTAGTAGCCAGCTGCATTAAATCACTACAGACCGTGAGGTCATGAGTTCAAAGCCAGCCCGGGTTGGAGTGAGCTCCTGACCATTAATAGTCTAGCTTGCTGTTGACCAATGCAGCCCGAAAGATAGTTACACTGTGGACTCAAACAATGATGGATCTGGACCAAACTTGGCACAAATACTCAATATGCCCAAATGTGAACACTGGTGGAGTTTGGAGGAGATAGACCTTGGCATTTGGAAGTTTTAGTTTCTGGGATTTATTGTTCGCCTACAATCAAAGAGCATTCTGAACTCCACCAACGATGGAACTGAACCAAACTTGGCACACAGAACTCCCATGACCAAGAAAATACTGGAAGGGTTTGATGGGTATTGACCTTGAGTTTGGGAGTTGTAGTTCACCTACATCCAGTGACCACTGTGGACTCAAACTTTGGACCAAACTTGGCACAAATATTCCATATGCCCAAATATCAACACAGATGGAGTTTGGGGAAATAGACGATGACATTTGGGAGTTGTAGTTACTGGGATTTATAGTTCACCTACAATCAAAGAGCATTCTGAACCCCACGAACGACAGAATTGGGGCAAATTTCCTACACAGAACCCCCATGGCCAACAGAAAATACGTAAGGCTATCTAGTAATAATAATAATAATAATAATAATAATAATAATAATAATACACTTTATTTATATTTCACCGTATCTCTGGGCTGTGTTAGTAGCCAGCTGCATTAAATCACTACAGACCGTGAGGTCATGAGTTCGAAGCCAGCCCGGGTCGGAGTGAGCTCCTGACCATTAATAGTCTAGCTTGCTGTCGACCAATGCAGCCCGAAAGATAGTTGCACTGTGGACTCAAACAATGATGGATCTGGACCAAACTTGGCATGAAAATCAATATGTCCAAATGTGAACTTTGGTGGTTTGGGGAAAATAGACTTGACATTGGGGAGTTGTAGTTGCCGGAATGTATAGTTCCAAAGAACATTCTGAACCCCACCAAGGTTAGAATTGAGCCAAACTTCCCACACAGAACCCCCATGACCAACAGAAAATACTGTTTTCTGATGGTCTTTGGCGACTCCTCTGACACCCCCTCATGACCCTTCCAGGGGTACCGACCCTCAGGTTGAGAAACACTGGTGTGCTGAGCTGCTGAGTTTGTTGACTGAAAGGTCGCGGGTTCGAATCCGGGGAGCGGTGTGAGCTTCCGCAGTCAGCCCCAGCTCCTGCCAACCTAGCAGTTCGAAAACATGCAAATGTGAGTAGACCAATAGGTACCGCTCTGCCGGGAAGGTAATGGTGCTCCATGAGGTCATGCCAGCCACATGACTTTGGAGGTGTCCACGAACAACGCCGGCTCTTCGGCTTAGAAATGGAGATGACCACCACACCCTAGAGTCGAACACAACTGGACTTCATGTCAGGGGAAAACCCTTACATTATTATTATTATTATTATTATTATTATTATTGGTAACAAAAGACACATGAGCTACAAATCCCCCTTTAAAGGTCTATGCCCATTACAACCCATGTTCTTTAACAGCTCAACATGATGCTCACCTTCTTGTGCAAGTGACTGCAAAAGGTTGACCAGAAGGAAGAGGAAGATGTGAAGAGTCTTCATGATGATGGAGGGTTGTAAGACTCGTACGGAGGACTCTTGGATCTCTTTGGCTGCAAACTTCCTTCCTGGATGTACCCAATCTCCAAATATGAGTGAATGCACCCCTTTTTTCATATTTATACTCACAGGGTGAGGGATGAGCAAGGATTTTAGCCAGTACTTATGACACACTGCCAGGAAAATCATCCTTGAAATGGATAGAGAATTCCTTCCTGCTTCTAATCCTGGTATCAGCTACCAGGTGATTTCTTAACTGCCTGAAAGCCTGAAAGGGATCCTTCTCAATCCGTGGACTGAAAGAGACTGAACCTGGATTAATTTTGACTGCATAAAGAAGGCAAAGATAAAGAGCCATTGTCCGGAAAACCCAATCTGTGCTTCTCAAAGCTCACTGAAAATGAGGATAATCTGAAGGGCAATTTTCTGTCCCATGGGGAAAGACGTTCCAAGATTTTAACGGCAACACGACACTATTCACCCGAGAGTAACCCCCATGGAAAACAACAAGATTTACACAGAAAGTAGGTAAGTGTAGGAGTCTTGTAGTTAAGGCTGTTGTCTCAGATGTGGTGGAGGACTGTGCCGTCGCGCCTGGGGGCTTTAACTCTTAGTGAAAGAGGCATGGACGTGACATCTTTTCCCCAGGGGATTGCTTCTTACCCTCCTTTAGGAAAACCGGAACTCCCAAGGACCAAAACACTATAGATAACTCAAAATAGGTTTAATTTTTCACAAAGAGTTATCCCTTTAAGGCAATAAGCTGGAAGTTTCAAAGGGGTAAAGGAAAATATACATTCCAGTCTCTGGTTGTCTTGGGACCAAGGAGTTTTGTAGCTGAGAAGCTTTTCCAGGTCCCTCTTTCTCAATGGTTGTGAATATCAGAATACTCACAACCCCAATTCCAATGGTTTATATTTTGAAGGCACAAAGCCTTCCTCTGGTGCCAAAGAACTGGTTTGAAGGCGCTTGAGACTTTTCAACGTCATCCAGGTTGATCTGAACATGAAGCATAAGTCTCAAGGGTAAGAACCTCAGAATTGGTGCTGAGAGGTAACTTAATCAGGGGCTTTTAGAGCCAAGTCTCTTTCTCACGTCCATCTGATATAAAGTCTGATGGTGGAATGGAAAAGGAAAGCGCCCCCTTTCTCCAGGAAGAGGTGGAGCCAAACAATTGAGCTGAGGCAGCAATATAACTGGTGCAAACAACATTGATTGACAGCTATAAATAACCAATCAATCCAACTATACATAGGCAGCGTAAAAAGGCAGGATTAAGCATGATACAACAGTTTAAATCTTGCAGCTAACAGTTCTACATATAGGTGGCACTACCCGCGCCATCACAGGACAGCTTTCTAGGGAAACAACTTGTTTGGACTAAGAAAGGGTCCATTTGCCATAAATGTTAAGTTTCAAATAGCTGTAGCATTTTGAAAATTTTGTCTATTACTACAACACTAGTATCATTTATTATGAAACAGGAAACGTAACATTGGTGGACAGGAAAAGAGATTTAAAGATAGGCTTAAAGCCAACCTTAAAAATTGTGGATAGACACCAAGAACTGGGAAGCCCTGGCCCTTGAGTGTTCTTACTAAAGGTCAGCTGAGACCAGCAGTGCTGCAGAATTCTATGAGGCATGCATGGAGGGTGAAAGGGAGAAGTGTGCCAAGAGAAAGGTGTGTCAAGCCAACCCTGACCAGGACCGCCTTCCATCTGGAAACCGATGTCTTCGCTGTGGGAGAACATGCAGATCAAGAATAGTACCCCCGTGACTAACTCAACCTACTGGAGGGGTTTGAGGGGACTGACTTGCCATAGTGGGAGTTGTAGTTTACCTTACAGCCAGAGAGCATACAGAACCCCACCGATGATGTATCTAGAGCAAACTTGCGCAACATAAATGCAAGATACTCCACTTTGGCAGGAAAAACGAAATGCAAAGATACAGAATGGGGGCAATGCCTGGCTCAAGAGCAGTACGTGTGAAAAAGATCTTGGAGTCCTCGTGGACAACAAGTTAAACATGAGCCAACAATGTGATGTGGCGGCAAAAAAAGCCAATGGGATTTTGGCCTGCATGAATAGGAACATAGTGTCTAGATCTAGGGAAGTCATGCTACCCCTCTATTCCGCTTTGGTTAGACCACACCTGGAATATTGTGTCCAATTCTGGGCACCACAATTCAAGAGAGATGTTGACAAGCTGGAATGTGTCCAGAGGAGGGCGACTAAAATGATCAAGGGTCTGGAGAACAAGCCCTATGAGGAGCGGCTTAAAGAGCTGGGCATGTTTCACCTGAAGAAGAGAAGGCTGAGAGGAGACATGATAGCCATGTATAAATATGTGAGAGGAAGCCACAGGGAGGAAGAGGAAGCAAGCTTGTTCTCTGCTTCCCTGGAGACTAAGACGCAGAACAATGGCTTCAAACTACAAGAGAGGAGATTCCATCTGAACATGAGGAAGAACTTCCTGACTGTGAGAGCCGTTCAGCAGTGGAACTCTCTGCCCCGGAGTGTGATGGAGGCTCCTTCTTTGGAAGCTTTTAAACAGAGGCTGGATGGCCATCTGTCAGGGGTGATTTAAATGCAATTTTCCTGCTTCTTGGCAGAATGGGGTTGGACTGGATGGCCCATGAGGTCTCTTCCAACTCTTTGATTCTATGATTCTATAACAAACTTTAAGTACTGATGGAGTTTCTTGGGGTTAACCTGGTATGATGGGAGTTGTAGTTCACCCACAATCTTATGCAATTTGTACAATTAAAAATGACTTTTTCAATAACCCAGGCAACACTGGGCACCCAAGAGAGTATACACACACTTACACACACACATATACATACACACATTATTAGTCTAATGTTTGTTCATTTGTTCAGTCGTCTCTGACTCTTCATGACCTCATGGACCAGCCCACGCCAGTGCTCCCTGTCGGCCGTCACCACCCCCAGCTCCTTCAAGGTCAGTCCAGTCACTTCAAGGATGCCATCCATCCATCTTGCCCTTGGTCGGCCCCTCTTCCTTTTACCTTCCACTTTCCCCAGATCATTGTCTTCTCTAAGCTTTGCTGTCTCCTCATGATGTGGCCATGTTACAATAATAATAATAATAATAATAATAATAATAATAATAATGCTGTGAACCTCTTTGGCTCTGGGTCTAGAGATAAAAGTAGCCAATAATAATAATAATAATAATAATAATAATAATAATAATAATCAGGGCATTAAAAATAATAATGCAACATTAGACTAATAATTTATCTCTTTGCAAGTCCATTACATATTAAAGGGGGAAAAATCCTTATTCTGACAACTCCAACATTGATTGGAAACATATATATCTGACAACCTGTTTGGTATTAAATACCGTCTATTTAACATCTTAAATCACTCCAGATATCTTATAGGGAAAATACATCACTGTTGCTAAGACAACATTTTTTAAATGCGGATGGATGGAGGGAGTAATCTATATGTTCAGCCATAAATCCATTCTGTTCTATTGACATATCATTCTGCAATAATACATATTTATTTTTTCAGGCACGGCATTGCCACTAAAGGCACTTAGAAGGTGTCTTCTTTCCTCGAATTACATATTTACACTTGCTGCGTACTTGCTTATTATTCTGTGCACATTTCTGCCTTATGTCTCCTATGCATCTTTTTTTCTAACCTACCATTTTCTATACAACTTGGGCATTTTGGGCTCTCGGTTTCTCTAATGCATGCTTTTGTGTAGGTGTTTTAAGGCAAAGAAGAAGGTGGCAAAAAAATAAAAATAGAATAAAAAATAAAAATATAAACAAGCCCACTGGAAGATACCATCAGTTTATTTATTTATCGTGTCATCAGCAACCATTGTATTACAATTCTAACAGAGCAAAACAAACACACAGATTAAAAAGGAAAAGGGGAAAAAAGGGGAAAAAAACACACAGATTTTGCAAATTTGGTATTTGGTTAAATGTCCTTTGACCAGTATCTGGCCACTTGGAGTGCCTCTGGTGTTGCCGCAAGAAGGTCCTCCATTGTGCATGTGGCAGGGCTCAGGGGGCATTGCAGCAGGTGGTCAGTGGTTTGCTCTTCTCCGCACTCGCATGCCGAGGATTCCACCCTGTAGCCCCATTTCTTAAGATTGGCTCTGCATCTCGTGGTGCCAGAGCGCAGTCTGTTCAGCGCCTTCCAAGTCGCCCAGTCTTCTGTGTGCCCAGGGGGGAGTCTCTCATCTGGTATCACCCATGAATTGAGGTGCTGGGTTTGGGCCTGCCACTTTTGGACTCTCGCTTGCTGGGGTGTTCCAGCGAGTGTCTCTGTAGATCTAAGAAACCTATGTCTTGATTTAAGTCGTTGACGTGCTGGCTGATACCCAAACAGGGGGTGGGCTGGAGATGTCTCTGCCTTGGTCCTTTCACTATTGGCTGCTACTTCCCGGCGGATGTCAGGTGGTGCAATACCGGCTAAGCAGTGTAATTTCTCCAGTGGTGTGGGTCGCAGACACCCTGTGATAATGCGGCATGTCTCATTAAGAGCCACATCTACTGTTTTAGTGTGGTGAGATGTGTTCCACACTGGGCATGCATACTCAGCAGCAGAGTAGCATAGCGCAAGGGCAGATGTCTTCACTGTGTCTGGTTGTGATCCCCAGGTTGTGCCAGTCAGCTTTCGTATGATGTTGTTTCTAGCACCCACTTTTTGTTTGATGTTCAGGCAGTGCTTCTTGTAGGTCAGAGCATGGTTCCTTCTTTCCAACCATCAGTTGGAAAGAAGTAACACAAAGCAACACATTTGTGTTTTGCAGGTGGATTCTATAGCATTCCAGGATTCCATAACATTGAACCATAACATTGCTCTCTGGCTCCACCGAGTGGCCACATCTGAGCACTGCATTATCAGTTTCCCATTGAAACTTGTGGAAAACAACAATCCAGTAAGACATACTGTCCAGACCAGTGGTTCTCAACATTCCTAATGCCGCAACCCCTTAATAGAGTTCCTCATGTTGTGGTGACCCCCAACCATAAAATTATTTTCGTGGCTACTTCATAATTGTAAATTCGCTCCTATTATGAATCTTAATGTAAATATCTGATATGCACAAATATCCGATAAGCCCCAATTTCAATATTGGTGGAATTAGGGGTATTGAATTTGTCATTTGGGACCAAACTTGGCATGAATACTCACTATGCCCACATGTGAACACTGGTGGAATTTGGGGAAAATAGACCGTGACATTTGGGAGTTGTAGTTGCTGTGATTTATAGTTCACCTACAATCAAAGAGCATTCTGAACTCCACCAACGATGGAATTGAACCAAACTTGACACACAGATCTCCCACGACATAACAGAAAATACTGGAAGGGTTTGGTGGGCATTGACCTTGAGTTTTAGAGTTCTAGTTCACCTACATCCAGAGAACACTGTGGACTCAAACAATGATGAATCTGGACCACACTTGGCGCGAATACTCAATATGCCCAAATGTGGTGGAGTTTGGGGCAAATTAGACCCTGACATTTGGGAGTTGTGGTTGCTGGGATTTATAGTTCACCTACAATCAAAGAGCATTCTGAACTTCACCAACGATGGAATTGTACCAAACTTGGCACACAGAACTCCCATGACCAACAGAAAATACTGGAAGGGTTTGGTGAGCGTTGACCTTGAGTTTTGGAGTTGTAGTTCACCCAAAGAGCACTGTGGACTCAGGCAATGATGGATCTGGACCACACTTGGCACGAATACTCAATATGCCCAAATGTGAACACTGGTGGAGTTTGGGGCAAATTAGACCTTGACATTTGGGAGTTGTGCTTGCTGGGATTTATAGTTCACCTACAATCAAAGAGCATTCTGAACTCCACCAACGATGGAATTGTACCAATTCCCATTCATAACAGTAGCAAAATGACAGTTATGAAGCAGCAGTGAAAATAATGTTATGGTTGGGGGTCACCACAACATGAGGAACTGTATTAAGTAGTCACGGCATTCGGAAGGTTAAGAACCACTCCCCTAGGGGTTTTCTAGAAGGGACATAGTGGTGGCTCTCAACAATAGAGGTTGTGCGAATAGGTGACCCATACATTTTGGATCAGAACACTCATAACTCTATTCAATAAACCTTGTGCTGGTACGGCTGTACCAGGAGCTCCAACCTTATTTGCTTTTTATTAAATGTTTGCTTCCAGTCCAAGGTTTCAGGGATTCTGCAGAAAGATGGCTTCCTTTGGTTGCAGTCATAGGGCAAGTCATCTGTCCATCATCATTAAGTTTTGGTTCTGCCCCTTGTTCAGGGCAATTGGGAAGGGAAGGGAGCCATTTTTAGTTAGTCTCAGTAAGGAAAGCTAATGTAGAGGACGTGTACAAACTTCTCCTGTACAAAAGCTTCGACCCTTAAGACTTTCTGGGGGAGAACAGTCTTAAGAGCATTCAAAGATTTCCAAAGATTTCCAGGGAAGCAGCCCTAAAGCTTTGAGGAATTTTGGAGGGTAAACAGTTTGGAAGACCAAAGAACTCCAGCTGGAGAATCTACTGGCCTTACTGGTAGGTCCACTCGGTGCTCGAGACGCAGTTCGACCTGGTAGCGGAACCCACATCAGTAAGGCTTAGATTACAGTCAGCCTGGGAGAAGTTAAAAAGGGATTTTCCTTAAAGTAAAGAAACAGTTATTGAAGACAATTGCCTGTCCCTTGTGGACATGATTAGGAAGCCACCAGTTGCATAAAGGCCTGGAAGCATTTGTTTAACTTTATTGAAGACAAGAGAAGTTTCTGTTTGATTGTTCATTAATAAAGGACTTTGTTATACTTCACAAGCCACCTAAAGACCATTTGTGGTGGAAAATCCATGAGAACTTCTCTTCAGGGCCCCCTGGCTTCCCGCTGGGCTCAAGTTGCACGTCCTATTTTAAAAGCAATTCTTTACAGGCCCAGCGCGTGACAGAACAAACCTGGATTTAGGTGATTTCATTCATCTCAACCTGGCCTTCACTACCACGTCACCCTTGATTTCATAATGCAGATTCTTCCAACCCAAAGTGCAACGGGGAAGCTGGAGATCCTGATAGGCGGACCTCATCTTGTGAGGCGAGAGGAGGAACTCCCACATGTAGACGTCGGTCAGTTCTCCGGAGAAGGAGTTGTAAGAGTCATAGGAACCTCCATAGTGGTCTTGCTCTTGGCCCAGCACAATGAAGGCGTCAGCGCCCACAACATGCCCTTTCTTCAACCCTTTCCTGGGCCAGGGCTTCCCATTCAGCCAAAACTCAGCAATGCCAGTGGCCGATTCCCACCCGAAGCAGACATGTTCCCAGTCGAGGGTGTCTTCGGGGACTTTGAAGGAGAGGTATTCTCCGCCCACGTAGACTCGATACTCTCCCGATTTGGGCTTGAAGATCAGGATCTCGTTGTCCTCCAACCTCGTTGCGTACGAGAAGAGACCGTAGGGCCGGGTCAGGTCTGTATAGGACCTCAAGCAGACGGTGAAGTTCTGAAGAGGCTCCTCCGGTTGGGGTTTGAGAACGACGTAAGCCTCGCTAGGCTCATTGCGGAACACGAAAACCTTTCGAGAAAGATCTGGGAAGAGATGATGGGAAAAGGGAAATAAGAAAGGATGAAGGCCAACAATATTTTTTACATAGTAGTCTGTGCACTTTGGTTGCTCCCCAGTTTTGGTCCCCAGATGCTATGGAACAAAAATGCCCATCAGTTTTGATTATTCATTCTGCAGATTGGGGATCATGGGAATTGCAACCCAAATGCTATTGTTCAAAAACGTCCATCAGTTTTGGTTATTCACCCTGCAGACTGGGGATAATGGGAATTGCAACCCAAATGCTATGGAACAAAAACGTCCATCAGTTTTGATTATTCACCCTGCAGACTGGGGATAATGGGAATTGCAACCCAAATGCTATTGATCAAAAATGTCCATCAGTTTTGATTATTCACTCTGCAGACTGGGGATAATGGGAATTGCAACCCAAATGCTATTGAACAAAACATAGTCCATCAGTTTTGATCATTCACCCTGGAGACTGGGAATAATGGGAACTGCAACCCAAATGCTACTGATCAAAAATGTCCATCAGTTTTTGTTATTCACCCTGCAGACTGGGGATAATGGGAATGGCAATCCAAATGCTATTGATCAAAAAGTCCATCAGTTTTGATTATTCACCCTGCAGACTGGAAATAATGGGAATTGCAACCCAAATGTTATTGAACAAAAGCATCCATCAGTTTTGGTTATTCACCCTGCAGACTGGGGATAATGGGAATTGCAATCCAAATGCTACTGATCAAAAATGTCCATCAGTTATGATTATTCATCCCACAGACTGGGGATAATGGGAATGGCAACCCAAATGCTATTGAACAAAAACGTCCATCAGTTTTGATTATTCACCCTGCAGACTGGGGATAATGGGAATTGCAACCCAAATGCTATTGATCAAAAACGTCCATCAGTTTTGATTATTCACTCTGCAGACTGGGGATAATGGGAATTGCAACCCAAATGCTATGAACAAAAACGTCCATCAGTTTTGATTATTCACCCTGCAGACTGGGGATAATGGGAATTGCAACCCAAATGCTATTGATCAAAAATATCAATCAGTTTTGGTTATTCACCCTGCAGACTGGGGATAATGGGAATTGCAACCCAAATGCTATGGAACAAAAACGTCCATCAGTTTTGATTATTCACCCTGCAGACTGGGGATAATGGGAATTGCAACCCAAATGCTATTGAACAAAAACGTCCATCAGTTTTGATTATTCACTCTGCAGACTGGGGATAATGGGAATTGCAACCCAAATGCTATTGATCAAAATAGTCCATCAGTTTTGATCATTCACCCTGGAGACTGGGAATAATGGGAACTGCAACCCAAATGCTACTGATCAAAAATGTCCATCAGTTTTTGTTATTCACCCTGCAGACTGGGGATAATGGGAATGGCAATCCAAATGCTATTGATCAAAAAGTCCATCAGTTTTGATTATTCACCCTGCAGACTGGAAATAATGGGAATTGCAACCCAAATGTTATTGAACAAAAGCATCCATCAGTTTTGGTTATTCACCCTGCAGACTGGGGATAATGGGAATTGCAATCCAAATGCTACTGATCAAAAATGTCCATCAGTTATGATTATTCATCCCACAGACTGGGGATAATGGGAATGGCAACCCAAATGCTATTGAACAAAAATATCAATCAGTTTTGATTATTCACCCTGCAGACTGGGGATAATGGGAATTGCAACCCAAATGCTATTGATCAAAAATATCCATCAGTTTTGGTTATTCACCCTGCAGACTGGGGATAATGGGAATTGCAACCCAAATGCTATGGAACAAAAGCATCCATCAGTTTTGATTATTCACCCCGCAGACTGGGGATAATGGGAATTGCAACCCAAATGCTATTGATCAAAAATGTCCATCAGTTTAGATTATTCACTCTGCAGACTGGGGATAATGGGAATTGCAACCCAAATGCTATTGAACAAAACTGTCCATCAGTTTTGATTATTCACCCTGTGGACTGGGGATAATGGGAACTGCAACCCAATAGCACTTGTGTCTGTGACGTTGGGGAAAGGTGAAAGGACACTTTAAAGTCAGACATCATACCCACAAGTCTTGTGTCTGAATGCAAGTCCCATTCTCAAGATGTCATTGCATCACAAGTCCCATGAGCTCTAGTCATGATGTCCTATTTATGAGGAACATGGGATTTCAAGTCCAGCATCTTGAAGGCCATATGAACTTACATGGTTTGACACATGTGCTCTATCCTCTGGCCAGGAAATACATTTAATTTGCCAAGCCAACATGTGTGAGATGGGCTTTGCGAGTGATGAAGTAAGGGTACTCTATCCATGCGCAGGGATGCTCTTTCATGGGACTCCACAAAGCTTTTCCAATATGAAAAGAGATTCTGGGGTCAAACCCATCCCTGTCCCAATGAATTTTACTAACCTTCCTGGCAAGAGATCCCTGATACGCTGCAAAAGACCAGGAGGCAAATCCAGACCAGCTCCATCTTCAACAACAACAACAACACCTAAACTAAAACTAAGTTCAGAAGGAAGTATGACATGACAAGGGGAAGGCGCCGTCCCTACAAAGCTGCTTCTAGAACTGTTCCTCAAATAAACACCAACTCATGGGCTGCATCTAAATTTATCCCCACCGTGAGCTGGGCAAAGGAGAACCCAGTCACCTGAATGCTGCACTTGCAGTCAAGCGACTTCTCAGATTTCAAAAATCAGAGAGATGCAATCCCTTAACTCTTTCCTCAACACGATGAATCCCAGACTTGAAAACTTCCTTTCTATTTCGACCGCTCAGAGGCATAGGCTATCTTTCTGTCTGTCATCTATCTATCTATCTATCTATCTATCTATCTATCTATCTATCTATCTATCTATCTATCTATCTATCTATCTATCTTCTCTCTATCTATCTATCTGCCATCTACCATCCATCCATCCATCTATCTACCTGTCCGTCCAGCCAGCCATTTATCTATCTATCTATCTATCTATCTATCTATCTATCTATCTATCTATCTATCTATCTATCTATCTATCTATCTACCCTTCTCTCCATCCTTCCTTCCTTCCTTCCTTCCTTCCTTCCTTCCTTCCAGCCAGCCAGCCAGCCAGCCACCCATTCATCCATCTATCTATCTATCTATCTATCTATCTATCTATCTATCTATCTATCTATCTATCTACCTTCTTTCCTTCCTTGCTAGCTTGCTTTCCCTTCCCTTCCCTCTATCTGATCTACTATCTATCTCTATCTATCTATCTATCTATCTATCTATCGATCTATATCTACTTCTCTCCATCCATCCTTCCTTCCTTCCTTCCAGCCAGCCAGCCAGCCACCCATTCATCTATCTATCTATCTATCTATCTATCTATCTATCTATCTATCTATCTATCTATCTATCTATCTATATCTACCCTTCTCTCCATCCATCCTTCCTTCCTTTTATACTTCCACCCATAAGTCTATCTTCTATCTATCTATCTATCTATCTATCTATCTATCTATCTATCTATCCATCCACCCACCCACGCACCCACTCACCCACCCAATCACCCATCCTTCTATCATCTATCTATCTATCTATCTATCTATCTATCTATCTATCTATCTATCTATCTAACTATCTATCTATCATCTATCTACCCTTTTACCCATCCATGGAGTTCTATTATCCATCCTTATCTATCTATCTATCTATCTATCTATCTATCTATCTATCTATCTATCTATCTATCTATCTATCTATCTATCTTTTTATCCATCCATCCTTTGATCCACCCACACATCTATCTATCTATCTATCTATCTATCTATCTATCTATCTATCTATCTATCTATCTATCTATCTATTCTATCTATCTATCTACCATTTTATCCATCCATCCATCCATCCATCCATCCATCCATCCATCCATCCACCAAAACTACCAGACTCAAACTGCTCCCTGGGCATTGCCCAACCAATCAGCTTTGTGCATCTTATTTTACAGTTGATACACACATATTAACTGATTCCTTGCATGCTCCCACAAGGCGAAGAGAGGGTTCCTGAATCATAGAATCATAGAGTTGGAAGAGACCTCATGGGCCATCCAGTCCAACCCCCTGCCAAGAAGCAGGAATATTGCATTCAAAGCACCCCTGACAGATGGCCATCCAGCTTCTATATAAAAGCTTCCAAAGAAGGAGCCTCCATCACACTCCAGGGCAGAGAGTTCCACTGCTGAATGGCTCTCATAGTCAGGAAGTTCTTCCTCATGTTCAGATGGAATCTCCTCTCTTGTAGTTTGAAGCCATTGTTCTACGTCCTAGTCTCCAGGGAAGCAGAAAACAAGCTTGCTCCCTCCTCCCTGTGGCTTCCTCTCACATATTTATACATGGCTATCATATCTCCTCTCAGCCTTCTCTTCTTCAGGCTAAACATGCCCAGCTCTTTAAGCCGCTCTTCATAGGGCTTTTTCTCCAGACCCTTGATCATTTTAGTCGCCCTCCTCTGAGCACATTCCAGCTTGTCAACATTTATCTTGAACTGTGGTGCCCAGAATTGGACACAATATTCCAGGTGTGGTCTAACTAAGGCGGAATAGAGCATGGGGAGCATTACTTCCCTAGATCTGGACACTATGCTCCTATTGATGCAGGCCAAAATCCCATTGGCTTTTTTTGCCACCACATCACATGGTCACTTGCCCCTAAGGATCCGATCACTTCAACCGCATTGATCAGATCCTCCGCATTTGTTAGGATGAGATCAAGAGTAGCTGACCCCCTTGTTGCCTCTTCTACCTTCTAGACCATGAAATTGTCTGCAAGGCAAGCAAGGAATTTGTTGGACCTTGTACTCTTGGCTGAGTTTGTTTTCCAGCAAACATCAGGATAGTTGAAATCGCCCATGACTACTACATCTCTTCTCTGTGCCTGTTTGGTCAACTGTTGGCAGAAGACTTCATCAAGTTCTTCCTCCTGGCTTGGAGGTCTGTAGTAGACACCTACAATGACATCTTTTTTTGTCCCCAGTTCCCCTGATTCTTATCCAGATGCTTTCAAGCTGGCTTCCCGGATTGCTGTCTTGCATCTCTTCTGCAGCATAACAGTTTTGTCATATAAGGCTACTCTGCCTCCTCTCCCCTTTGTTCAGTTTCTGTGAAAGAGGTTATAGCCCTCCATGTCTACAATCCAGCGATAGAAGTCATCTCACCAGGTTTCAGTGATGCCTATGACATCATATTTGTGGTGGTGTGCTAAAAGTTGGAGTTCGTCTTGTTTATTTCCCATGCTCTGTGCATTAGTGTAAAGACATGTGAGTCCCTGAGATCTTCCCCTGAGCTGTTTATTTGGGATTATTGTGCTTTTGGTACTTGGTCCTTGTTGTGTTTGTGCAGCCCTCTAGCCTTCTGGCGGTTCCCTGACATTGTGGGTAAAGTAGTGTTCGCAAGGCTGTTGTCCCACTCCCCCGGTGGACCTAGTTTAAAGTGCGCCTAATGAGGTTTGCGAGTCTGTGAGCAAAAAGGTATTTTCCTACTTGTGTGAGATGCACCCGATCCCTTGTCAGTAGGCCATCCTCCTCGAAAAGCAGGCCATGGTCGAGGAAGCCAAAGCGTTCCTCCTGATACCATTTTCTAAGCCAGTTATTGACCTGTACTATTTTTCTGGCCCTTGTAGGACCGTGTCTTGCAACTGGGAGGAGGGAGGAAAAGACCACCTGTACATTATATTGTTTAAGCTTTGTTCCGAGAGCTCGAAAATTATTCATGATCTTTTGAAAAGTATGCCTAGCAGTATCATTGGTTCCTACATGAATCAACATGAGGGGAGGACAGTGATGGGGCTTGAGGAGCCTGGTGAGCCTCTGAGTGATATGGTGTATTTTGCCTCCGGTAGGCAGCATATTTCTCGAGCCATCCCATCTGGTCTGGAAATGACGGCTTCCGTTCGTCTAAGGAGGGAGTCGCCTACTACCAAGACCTGTTTACTTTCAGGATTGACAGGGTCCCTTTTGTGCAATGTAGTGTGTAGGTCCCCAGAAAAGTGATGTAGGTCCTGAGACCATCAGAAATATGTGTTTTCTCATGGTGTTTTGTGACTCTTCTGAAACCCCCCTCACGACCCCCCAGGGGTCCTGACCCCTAGGCTGATGCATTGAATGTTGCATGATATCTATTGATGCAGATTATTGCATGGCTTTGATTGTATTTTTACCAACAATGCACCGTACTCGGAGACATTGAAGAGTGCCTGAAAGCATGGGATTGGATTAGTGACATGAATAGGATTTTGATGTACGCGTTTTCCCTTAAAACGTAAACTGTTATGATCCATTTAGCGTAGATGAGGCCGCGGTGCAGGCAGGGGGTGAAGGAGAAGGCTAGGCAATGATCCCTGCGGCGATAATAAAGAGTGTTCGGCGCGAGACTGTTATTTTCCCCCTTCACCTGTTCAAGGCTAGAGAATAAGTCACATCCACTTCATCTCTCTGCTTTGGTTCCCCTTTTCTTTCTATGGATAATAACAGGTCTACTTTTTCACTTTGCTTTCTTACCTTCCGCCCCACTCCTTCCATGCATGTATCGTCTAGATGAGAACTGCAATACAAATGGGGATGGCTTAGATTCCTCCGGTGCATGATTTAAGTTGCTGTGTTTCCCCCCACTAATAGCACGGAGAGTTTCTCCAACATTGTTATTAACTTCTCTCGCTAATTTGGAAGCGAGAGGAGCATATGCTTCCTATTTCCTATTTCCCATCAATGGGTCCATGGGGAGCTCTAACCGCCTCAGTGACAGGAGGGGATGGATCGGAGCATTGCAAATGAGGACCCTTGGCTCTGGAGTGGTGCTCGCTGGTAGAATATGCTGGCTCAGGGAGGTTTATGTTGAGAGAGTAATGCAGTCAGGTTGGACAAGGAAACATCCAGTGGCGCAATGGGTTAAACTCTTGTGCCTGCAGGACTGAAGACCAATAGGTCGGAGGTTTGAATCCGGGGACATTAGGAAGAACTGTGAGAGCTGTTCAGCAGTGGAACTCTCTGCCCTGGAGTGTGGTGGAGGCTTTTAAACAGAGGCTGGATGGCCATCTGTCGGGGGTGCTTTGAATGCAATTTTCCTGCTTCTTGGCAGAATGAGGTTAGACTGGATGGCCCATGAGGTCTCTTCCAACTCTACGATTCTGAAGTCGATAGGAACTTTAGAAGGGTCTACCACAGGAGGAGAGACCGTGCAGCCCCCCCAAAGAGGGATCGCTACATTGGTGAGCAAAGAGAAGCCTAATTTTAAGCAATTTATTTTCCCTAAGTTCCCAAAAAGAATCTCACCAAAGTTGAAGAAAGCGCCACCGAGATGATTTATTAGCGATTCAGCTGAAAAGGATGCAAAGCGGCAATCATTCGCCAAGCTAAGCATGCATGTACAGAAATAAATGCCATTTTTATAGAAAATACAGAATTGTGTGGTTCAAATCTCCCGCTCCCCGCCTGGCTCGAAGGTGATTGGCTGGCGCGCAAACAGCTGGGAGGAGGTTTGGCCGTCCCCCGCGCGTCTGGGCTAATCACAGGGCCAATCACAGGGCAC